GTCCCGACTCACCGACGGCGATTGATTGGATTGGTCACAGGAAGTGAAGGGCAGAATGGCCAAGAACGCCCTCGCCGCTGGGTCCGTGAACGAGAGCCAGAAGCTCAGAGTCGAGGACCTCATACAGTTCTTCAAGTGATGGGTCTGCTGTAGTAGAGTCGACTACCCCCCCTCCCACCCCCCCCCCGAGTGTTCCAATTTGCCACGTTCATGCCCTCGTGGGAGGACACAAGAGGTAAAACTCTTAAGTGCAGTAAGTGATCAGTCCCGTCCGTTTGTGGAATATTTTTCGGGGGGCGGCCTGTTCGAGGAATCCACGCTACAGCACACGGGCCCATGCATGTGTTTTAGTCTCTTGCGGTTGGGCTGTTGTGGTCAAGAGAAGAAAGGGTTTCGAACGAGGCGTGACTAGAAGGGCACAACAGATAGTCGAGGCTACCTGCCGGACCTCTTGTTTTCAGTTGTTGTGTAGTTGCTCTAAATCGAGACCAGCGAGGGCAGAGAGATCAGTCGACCTTGAGTTTGTGCGGTTGTTGGGATGGTTGAAAGTGGGATCTGAAGACTGCTAGCCGCCTCCTTGTGGAAACCCCGGTGGGTTTCGCAAGGAAAGAAATTGGGATCGTGTTGACTTGAAAGCATTTTTGAACATGTTTTTTTTTTCAGATGTCCACTCTGTTCCTCTTCCTGGGTTTCTCTTCGGTAAGGTGCCATGAAAGGGATATCCCTACCGCCGGTTTGCTTGGAGTGTGCTGTTAAACCCAAACACAAAGTATACGGAGAGCCTGGGAGAGGGGGGGCGTTAAGTCAAGTGCCTGAGGAGAGATCAAACCAGAGAGTTACAACCGTACGCGTGTGTGTGTCACCGTAGTTGATTTCCCTCTCCCTTCATCCCTTCATACGGAATGTGTACGTACGGAAGGACACCGGGGCGTGTCGACACGGCAGACCGTCTGCAGCGGCAATCATCGTGCTGGTACGGCGTTGGAAACCTGCGTGTGTGCCGCTGGTCGTTACGGGTGTGTGTGTGGGACGAAGCGGGATGTTTTGTGCAAAAAATAAAATGAACCCAACACGCCAACGAAAACTGCGTCGTCATTTCCTCGAACCACCACGCTACATAGCCAACAGTCGTTGACGCCCCAGGCAAAAAAATTGATGAGTCTCCACAGCCGGTGTTCCTCCCACACAGCTTTCCCCTAACGGTAGCTATAGCCTGGATGCGCGTACCAGTCGATCATCTCTCGATCGTCAACCGTCGTTACCCTCAAGAAACAAAACCCTACTCCTTGCCAACCCAGAAAATGGGTCAGCCCAACGGTGACCCTGCTTCGACACGTTTATCTCTCTTCTCTCTCTCTCGTCCGCACACGTCACTACACCAAGGTGAGCGTGGGGAAAGGGGACAAGTCCCCCCCCTTTCCCTCCCATCCTCGACCGCCCCTTCTATCGCAAGTACGACGCAAACGCCTCCTTCACCACTCCCGAGATGGCCCGCGCGCTCTCCGCGGGATCGGGAGCGTCGCTCTTGACCACCAGCTCGAGCAACCTCTCCGGCTTGAGGACCGAGCATTGCATCAGGTACGTCGAGCCCAGCACGTCCTGCGGCACAAAGGTGGTTCCGTCGCATGGGTGGGAGTGCTTTTGGTGGCGTGTGCGTGGTGGTGAGGAGAACTAGAGCGTGTGTGCTCGTCGGTCGGCCCTTTGATTTTGCAAGCCAGTTCAGTTTCAGTATTGTTCACATCTTTCGGCATCCTTTCTAGAAGCAGCATCGGCAGGGGTCACACGGGAGGGAAGGCCACACAGGCAGGACTTTGCCCTCTTTCAGGGTGCTAAGTAGCCAAAATCTGGAGAGAACACCAGAGTCAGTCACGGCTGTACCCGTAAGCTCGCTGCAAGACGATGGAGCTGGGATGGAGAAGCGCGGCCTCAACAGACCGTATTGAGAGGGAAGGGAGCACGGCCGCTGGGGAACGAACATTGTTCATGCTTGCACCAAGGACGATCTTGATCGCATTTGACTCTGTAACAACAGCAGCAGACACCCCCGCCCCCCACAACCAAAACAACAACATGACACTACGCGGTTCCGTTCGGAAACGGTCCCCGCTGAAGCAGCACCAAGGCCGCCCGATCAAGTACCTTCGCGTAGAAGAAGAACTTCATGGCCGCCGGTTTGTTCCCGGAAGCCATCGTGTTCACCCCTCTCGCCGTCAACAAGCCCTCCACCTCCTGCGTCGACGCGGGCACCTTGGACATCTCGAACGACGACTCCACGCCGGCGCCGAGGGCCGCCCAAAGACTCTGGAACTGGCCCGAATTAATCGTAATGCCTGCGGGAAGCCGGGGGGGGGGGGGGGGGGGGGGGGGGGTATAGTCGTCTCTCTTATCGAACCTTGCGCGTCCTTCTTGTCCGAAAC